GAAAAAAGTGACTTAAGACTATTTTTCACACTTATGAATATTGCAACATCCCTATGATCAAGTGATCAAAATTCAGATGCTTGGCAACTGACCATTTATGACCGTTGCAGTGTCCCGGGGTCACATGATTCCCTTTTGAGACCTTCTGACAAGCAAAGTCAATGCGGAAGCCAGATTCACTTAACAACTGTGCTACTAACTCAGCAACTGCAATGATACCATTAACAAGTGTGTCAAGAAACATTGTAAAAATGAAGAAAAATTCACTTAACAACTATTTCCCTTAGCAACAGAAATTTTGGGCTTAATTTGGTGATAAGCTGAGGACTACCTGTAGGACCTACCCTTTCTCATCTGTAATGAGAAAAAGATTCTATCAATTTTTTTTTCTGGATCTAGGTTTCTTTAGGCATATCAGAGTACATTACCCTCTTATAATAGGTAGTCACATACAGTATGGGAACACTAGGCCACAGAAAGATATTTGGCAGGGGTAGGAGTGGAGGTCACAGGAGGCCTGGGTCACACTCATGGTTAATTTAGCTTCTGAAGATTGAATTATAAAAGGCAGCTCTGAGCAAGCAGCAAGTGACGTTTTTATCAGGAAGTTGAAAAGAAAGAAAGCATTAAAGCTCTCGCTCCCTTCCGCACAAAATTAAAGTACTTGGAAGCCTAGGATTCACATACTGTACTTGACTTATTTATGTGCGGAAAGGAAGTGGGTGAGTTTTGGCAAAGGCAAAACTGCTACCTACGCATATTACAGTACCTGGAAAACCAGAAATCACACCATCAGCTTTTAGATGCATTCTTTAAGAAATTAACTCTTTGATGTATATGAAGCTGTATATTCTTGTTCAGAACTTTATAATTATATTTTACCCTCAAGAGAAACGGTGCTAATTTGTCAACTGTACCACCCCCCAAATTAAACCAATGGTTTTTGCAAACAGAAGGCTACATCTTCTACAATAGTTTGAATTCAATTACAGAATACAAATTAAAGAACCCTTTTCCAACAGTGACCACAACATGATTGACTTTTGTCTCAACATACGTCCACACAAAAATCATCACAACAACGGAATCCCCAATTATAACTTCAAAAAAGGCAACTATGATCTTATAAACAACGATCTCTCATCCCTTGATTGGCAATTTCTATTCTCTGGATGCAATACTGTTGAAGACCATTACAACATATTTTTACTTAAAGTCAAAAGAGTCATCAAACTATATGTACCATTAACAACTCCCAAAACCAGGAAAAAAAAATTACCCAAAACAATAAGGAAGCTTCAATCCAAAAAGAAATCACTTTGGCGGAAAAACAAATCTAGTCACGTTGCCAACTTCAAAAGCCGATACAAAAATTTATGCCACCAGATAAAAACTGAATGCACCAATTATCACATTAAACAAGAAGAAAACCTTCTACAAACCAATTCTACCTGTGCTTTCTACAGTTTTGTAAACAACAAACTAAAAGACTCCAGGTCCATCCCACCCCTGAAAGGACCTAATGGTAAAGACTGCAACGACGACACTATTAAAGCCAACCTCTTTAACACATTCTTTGGCTCAGTATTTGTAAACAGCAATGGATCATGCCCAGTATTTCCTAGTCAAACCACAGACAACTACAATGATCTAATACATATGATTTTACAGAAGACATTGTTGAAAAAGCACTGCACAATCTAAAACCATCTCTATCTATTGAGGCGGACAGAATATGTGCCTACTTCTTAAAAAAGCTACCCACTGCCATAGCCAAACCTCTAAGCATAATCTTTGAAAAATCATTCAAGACCAGCTCCTTGCCAAAACTATGGTCACAAGCCATGGTCATCCCCATCTTCAAAAAGGGAGACCCCAGTCTAGTTGAAAATTACAGACTACTCTCTTTATGCTGTGTCACCTGTAAAGTCACGGAATCAATTATTAACCAATCTATCATCCCCAATTTAGAAACAAACAACCTACTCTCTAATAAACAATTTGGTTTTAGGAAAAAACTATCATGCAATCTGCAACTCTTACACTGCAAAAACATATGGACTACACAACTTGATCAGGGCAAAGCAATAGACACAATCTACATAGACTTCTGTAAAGCCTTTTTATCAGTGGTACACGACAAACGACTTCTAAAACTAAAATCTTACGGTATCTCTGGACAACTGCATAACTGGATAGAAGCATTCCTGTCAAACAGACAACAAATGGTCAAAATTGGGAGTGTCCTATCAAATTCTGTACCTGTCAACAGTGGTGTCCCTCAAGGCAGTGTTCTAGGACCAACTCTCTTCACACTCTACATAAATCACCTCTGTGATCACATTAAGAGCAACTGCATTCTCTTTGTTGATGATGTAAAGCTATTCAACACCACAGACAATACTGCTAACCCTTCAAAAAGACCTTGACTATGTATCAGAATGGTCAAACAAATGGCAACTTCAAATCTCAAAAAATAAATGCTCTGTCCTACATATTGGCAAAAAAATCAGAAAATAAAATACAGGCTGAATAGTCAAGACATTGTTGATGATCCAAACTCTGTCAAGGATCTTGGAGTACTCATTTCAAATGGCCTAAGTGCTAGAGCCCACTGTAACTACATAGCCAAAAAGGTGTTAGGAGTTGTTAACCTAATCTTACGTGGCTTTTTCTCTGGTAATATTACACTAATAACTAGAGCATACAAAACATTTTCTAGACCAATACTCAAATACAGCTCATCAGTCTGGAACCCACATTACGTATCTGATATTAACACAGTTGAGAAAGTCCAGAAATATTTCACAAGATGCGTTCTCCACTCCTCTACTCGTTGCAGAATACCTTATGCCACTAGACTCGAAATTCTAGACCTAGAAAATCTAGAACTACACCGCCTTAGTATAGTATAGTATACTATAGTATATAGTATACTATATAAGTATAGTATATAAAATCATACATTGCAATGTCCTACCTGTCAATGAATACTTCAGCTTCAACCATAACAACACAAGAGCAAACAATAGATACAAACTCAAGATTAATCGCACCAAACTTGATTGGAGGAAATACAACTTCAGCAACAGAGTGGTCAATGTCTGGAATATTCTACCTGACTCTGGTTTCTTCCCCAAACCCCAAAAACTTTAACCTTAGACTGTCTACTATTGACCTCACCCCTTTCCTAAGAGGTCTGTAGGGGGTGTGTATAAGAGCACCAATATGCCTACTGTCCTTGTCCTATTGTTTCTTTTCTTTTCTTTTTTATTTTTCTTATATGTATCCATGTATTCATAACTATATTTTTACTTATACCTATTATCAGGCAATTGACAAATAAAAATAAATAAAAATAAATAAATGTCACTCCCTTTGTCTTCAGCAATGATTTACGACAAAATTTTGGCAGGGGAGAGGCAGTGTTCTGCATCTGGAAGGAGTCTTAGGATTTTCTGATTCACCTTCTTGACTGTTCTGCAGAATATGAAGTCAGTGGCTGTATTGTGCAATACAATGAACTAGCCAACTACATTTTACTCAGGTGATGATAGTTGGGGTGTGTGTGTGTTAATTTAATTTATATTCAAACATTCTGCCCCAGGGGCACTTAAAGTAGTGAACAATTGAAATGTTAAATGTAAACAATAAACTGCCAGTTGACAGTTCTCTCCAGCAAGGAGGGAGGTCTGCTGTAACCACCATATTTTTCAGTTTTCTCCACGCAGCAGCAGGTTCATTGACTGAGAAGTGAGTTCTCAGCTTTTCAGAGTAGTTTCTCTTTGCTACCCGGATCTCTCTTGTTAACGGCCTGATTGTACAAGATCCTATCTCTTTTCCTATAAGTCTCCTGTTTGGCATGATGAAGCTGGTTGAGCTTTGCTGTAAACCAAGGGTGTCAAACTCGCATCATCATGTTGTTGTCACGTGATGTCACGCAACTTTCTCCCCCTTTGCTAGAACAGAGATGGGCATGGCCAGCATGTGACGCATCCGGCCCACGGGCCGTGAGTTTGACACTCCTGGTGTAAACCAAGGCTTATTGTTGTCATATATATTGGCAAGTGTTTGAGAAGCAGTTTCCATTGCCTACTTTCTAGCGCTGAAAAAGAGGAACCGGACCAAGGTCACCCAACTGGTTTGATACTTAAGATTGAAGTAGCGGGCAACTTTATAATCTCCTGGTTTCTACCCTGGTGCCTATAACCACTATAGCAAACTGGTTTCTAGCCAAACTTAGTCTGCTATACAGTAACAGAGAGATAAAATATCTGTCTTAAGTTTCTTCACTCCTGTGTTATGTGGAATGGAAAGCAGCAGATTTGGGCTCAGAGCTATCTGCATGGTGGGGAACAGAGGCAAAGGACAGCAAAGATAACTATTGCATCATGATGTCACATGTAAGTTATGTACTTGTGTCAGACGTTTTAACACAATTACCTACTTGCATCATTTGTACAATGATTTCATTACATGTATGATATAAATCATTGCATGTATGACATAAATGTGGTTTGTAACAAACACTGCGAGCAAATCATGCTCTCTGATGAGACAAGACCAGTATTGTAGAACAGGAGGTCCCACCATTAGACTAATATGGCAAAAATAACTAAAGAAGTTAATCTCTGCCTCAGAAGTTCTGCATCACAGACTCCAATGCTTGATGTAGTCAGGCACGTAAATTAATTGTGCATGAAAATCCCTTTTTGTAAAAACCAGTTTGTTTTCTTGAACTAAAAAAAATCCTCCTGTAGACCAATAGATAGATAGCTGTATAGAAGCCAGCTAATAACAAAATTACCTGGCTGCCTTCCTGAAGCTGGGTAGGTTTCCCCGCCTTCCATCTGTGAGTGTTACACATCAGAATTTATTCTACTGGAAAAAAACCACTGTGGATGTTCTAAAGCAATCATACAAATAAATAGCATGTGACACAGAATGATCTTCACAGTACACCCCCAAAATAAATAGCAATGTTTCCCAAGGCAGGGGATTTCACAGTTTGTGTACTGTCCTCAGATCACAGCCAGCTAGAATTCTGATAGTCGCAGAATTGCAAATTCTCAGGGGAAAGACACCCTGCAAAGGAGGCCCTTTCATGAATTCAGTGAAATCCATGGTGATTTTGATATGGTTGCTTCAGTGTCTCTAGTTATTTCCAGATATTTTTATCCTGCTAAAATTACAGTACTCATATTGACTAAGTTAATCTATATACTGTATATGAAAATGTATGCAAAATTTAATTTAGTAGTCCTAACTGGCTTCAGAAGGATTCACATTTAGGTGTTGTGGATAAATTGCAGGGAAAATATTGTTGCATAATGGAAATAAATTTTTGCTGTCATGTCAGAGTTTTGTCAATTTATTCCAATGAGGTTTTTTTTTAAATGCCTTACACTAGTTAATTGGCAACAGTGATTGCAAGCAATTTAAAAAGTAAATGGAAAAAGACATATTACTAGATATTTCCAAATTCCAACTCCCTAGCTCAATAGCTAGGTGGGGTTTATCAGATGAGATCAAAAGATGCCATTTTTTTTATCATTGCGGTGAGGGGAATGAACATCTAGTTACACAGAGCAAACCTCACCAATACAGAGGAGATTAAACATGCTTGGAGCTTCAAGATCCAGATCTTTGACATCTTTAGTCCTAGATGTGATTGCATTTTAAATCCAATTTGCAACTTAGGCCTCTCCTTAACTTGCAACCAGTTTTCAAAGAGAAGGTGGCAGGCATGACTAGGAGACAGATGCACTTCAATTTGTGTGCCACCTGTGGCCTTTTCTTGATCAGGACTCCTTGCATTCAGTCACTAGTCTGAGTCACCTCTTATCTGGACTACTGCAAGGCACTCTACATAGGGTTACCCTGAAATACATTCAGAAGCTTCAGCTAGTGCAGGCTGAGGTAGTTGCAAGCAGTCTTTGGGACCCCTTAAATGGCCCATGTTACTGTTGCTCTGCAAGTTGCACTGGCTTCCAGTTTGCTTCCGAGTGTAGTTCAAGGTGTTGGTTATGACATCCATGGCATAGGCCGAGGTAACTTGATGAGCCGTCTCATCTTACTAGGACAGGCCTATCCCATTCATGCTGGCAGAGGGGGCCTGCTGCAGAGCCTGTCAATTAAGGAGCCCTAGCAGGTAGGATCCAAGCAAAGAGTCTTTTCTGCTGTGCCTCCCCTTTGGAACATCCAGACCCCGAAATGAAATCAGCCCGCACAGTCCTGTCCTTTCGAAAGAGCCTAAAGACTTGGCTCTGCTGGTTGGCCTGGGGACCCAATGGGGGAGTACCACAGTGGAGGTGGCTATTAGACTAATAGCAGATCCCACCTTCCCCCTTGCACATTCTATTCCCGGCCCACCCATCTTTTAATTCATCTTTAATTCATAATTCATAAAAATGCATGATTTATTTTGTTCCTTTGTTTTACTATTGTCATAGTTACATTTTCATAATTTTACATTCTACTGTTGCAAGCTGCTTAGAGTAGCCCATGTCGAGATGGCAAATAAATTTAATATTTAATAAATAAGTTAGAAAGAACTGAAAAAACAATCTTATACAAGCCTATTCAAAAGTATCATTATTTAAATCATCTGACTGTAGAACATGTTGATTCCTGGTTCAGACAACTATGGTTTATTGAATAAAGCTCATTTGGCTGGACTTGCACATGTAAGTCATAAATCAGATTTTGTAAACCAGAGTGGTTTATAAGCCACTGAACAAACCTCAATTTGACTTTGCATGATATGAAAAAAAAATCAACATTTTTTTGAGGGTAAATACATAGGATTGCACTGTTAGAGTTTCATTTCCCTTAATAACCAGGGTACATTTCCTCAGGAAGATGGTATTGCATCTTTCAAGAATCCAAGGAGTACAATGCTGTTATCTACTGTAATTATATTTCCTAAATCTCTTATAGAAGACAAGCTAGTAGCATTATTTCTTGTGTTGCAGATGAAGTTGTTTTCTAAGAATCCTTAGCAAGTTGATGGCAGAAGAAATGGCTTACTGATTCTTAAATTTGTGCATCAGTCCAATAGGTTTCTCAAACTTTGGAGATTACTGGCATGGAGACAGAGAGAAGAGGCAGCCCCATCCCTGAGTTGGATGCAAATTCCAGAAGTACTTTAGGAGATATTTCAGAAGGAATTTTCATTTCAGAAAATAAGGTGGGTATTTACAAAGAAGTGTAGATTTCTTATTGCAAACATTAATTGCATTACATCTATCAACCCAGGAGCATAACAACTATCCTAAATCAGGCAAAATGCTTATACATGATTTTAGAGAACACGCTAAGCTAACTGTACATGAATTAATAAATTTATATATTGTTTCAACCATAAATTATAGCAAACAATACAAAGCCTAGGTAATGCAGCAGTCAACTATAATTAAAATCAATGTATTTGAGTGTGGTGATATAGCTAATACAGTGATTGTATAAATAATAGTTAATTGACAAAACATAATATAACATTTATCTGACTAACGGTCTACAATGTCTCCTTAGATATTCAATCTTATGCAAATAACACCAGAAGGGTTCCCCCCTTAAAAGGCACTCAAAAATGGTCATGGGCAAAAGCAGAAGAAATGTGGTGTTTCGTGGAATCAAGCATTTCTGAGAAGTGATAAAATTGAAGTTTTCTGAGTGCCTCTTGAGAAGATGGCTTATTGTACATATAAAACAATATTCACATTGAACCTTAGGTTTGTTAAGTGTATCCAAGGGAGAATGTTATTTTGTGTGATTTTAGAAGGACTCCTTTGAAAAATATCCCAAACTGTATTCTAAAAAAAAACCAATGTAGTATGAGAGAATTTTCTGGAAGACATTACTACTTGAAGATCTAGTAGGGATCATGACCGCACCATTCAGAATTAAAAGTTCACCAGGAAAGAAATCTAAAACTAATTATAGGAGGGGGGGAGGATGGCTGATAGGGATTAATCTAATAAGTGAAAACAACAGTCCTCTTTTACTGAGAGACTGGAAATGAACGATTGGTTTTCATAAGTCTGTCCTCTGGAAATAGCAGATAGCATTGCTATTTGAGGTTGCTAATAGTTTTAGCCACCTTGAATTGATCTGATGCTCTTTTAAAGTCATCTCAACTTATGCCCATTATCATATCCCTGTACAGAGGACCGCACAGTTCAACTATGTGCAGCATACAGAGAAAGGATTCTTCTTTTTTTTCTGCCTTGAATTTCCAGCTATTTCGAATCAGTGGGTGACCTTGCTGCTGGGTATTACTTGAAACAGAGAGAAATGTTTCTCCAGGCACTTTATATGCATGATTATATTCACCTCTATCTTGGTCCCATTACTCATGTTTTTAAGCTTTCTTTCAAGCCTCCAGGTATTGTAACCTTTCATCAAAGAAGAAGGGATCCAACTGCTCCCACTGTCATTTTAATTGCCTTTTTCTGCCTCCTCCCCCTCCCGCCTTCCCCCAGCCTCAAGTGACTGGAATTGCACTTAGTATAGCAAGGTTTGCCAAGAACCAATAAGGTTTTTGTCTCTTATCCTTTTCCTGAATATTACATTCTGAAATACTACGGTATGATCACCTATTTCCTCTCCCCCCAAATTTACAAAGATGGAAGCAAGAAATGTAAAGAGGAGAGGCTGTCCATTGACCATCTACCACTGTGTTAACTTCTGCCCAAGCTCACTTTTCACCAAATGGCAACCCCTCAGCTGTGTTCAGTATTGAATTCCAAGAATCTCTGGCCAAGTTCCTGGGCCTGAAGTCCAAACAAATCTGGACTGCCCTAACTTGCAAAGATGATCCCCATTTTTGCAAGCAGATAATCACAGCCTTCCAGGTGACAGGAATGAAGACAAGTGGGCTTTTGCTGCTCCTCCTGCTTCCACTGGCACCGTTTCTTGTTCCTTGTACCAATTACTTGGCATTAAATTCACAGATTTCCTGGATAAACATTTAAACTGAACAGCGGGGACAGAGAATTAATGGAGTCAGAACATTTCTGTCCCCAGCAACCTAAAACTAATAAGGATACCAGTGCATGCAAAATAGATGTTTGCGCAGGTAAGATTATCAACCTTGATGCCAACCAAAACCAAGCATTTAATAGTGAGTGCCATACCATGTGCACTAATCAAACAGGTGGCAAGAAAGTAAGGGAAGGCAGGCACAACACAGGTTATGTAGACAGTAAACACAGTGTCAGACATAAAGATCTCAAGTGCCTATATACAAATGCACTAAGTCTGGGGAACAAACAGGGTGAACTCAAACTACAAATACATGAAGGTAAATATGAAATAGCTGGAATAACAGAAACTTGGTGGGACGAAACCCATGACTGGAACATACTGGTAGAATGATACAAACTATTCAAAAAAAAAAAAACCCAGACCCCATAAAAGAGGAGGTGGAGTTGCACTGTATGTAAAGGACCACTATATTGCTATGAAATGCATGAAACCAAAGATGAAAACCTCCTAGAATGCATATGGGTATTGACCCATAAAAAAAAGAAAAAAAAATGACATGGCCATAGATGTATATTATAGGCCACCCAATCAAGCAGAAAATATAGATGTTCTTTTTGCCAGCCAACTAACAAACATATGCAAGAAACATATAACAATAGTAATGGGAGACTTCAATTATCCTGATATCAATTGGAAAATTAATTCTGCACCAAGTGAGAAATCAAATAAGTTCCTAACCAACCTAGCCAACAACTTTGATGTCCAAAAGGTAGAGGGTGAAACTAGAGGGACAGCCATACTGGACTTAATTCTTACAAACAGAGAAGAAGTGATAGAGGGAGTTGAAACTGCAGGAACCTTGGGTGAGAGTGACCATGTCATACTAGAATTCAGCGTAACACTGTGGACATAATATATTTAGATTTCAGCAAGGTATTTGACAAAGTAGACCACAACCTACTTCTTAGTAAGCTAGAAAAATGTGGAATAGACAGCACCACCACTAGCTGGACTCGCAACTGGC